TATATATATATATATACACACATATACATATATGAAGGAACTTCAAAAGGTTTGTGGAAAAATGGAATTAAAAGCTAATGAAATTTTTCCATGCACCTTTTGAAGCCCCCTTGTGTATGTGTGTGTGTGTATAATGTTTTCATTTTAATAATGGGCATTCAATAGAAATTTAAATTTGAAACCAAAACATTTTTGTCACCAGCTCCCCCCATTTTTGGTATCTTTTTCTTCAGCTGCTTTTCCAGCCTCAAACGAACGTCTATGAGTCTCTGGCCAAGGACTGTGTGGCTCACGGCTGTTCTGTGACGCTCTTCATCTTTCCCAGTCAGTATGTGGATGTGGCCTCCTTGAGTCTTGTTCCTCAGCTCACTGGAGGAACTCTGTACAAATACAACAATTTCCAGGTAAATGCATCCGTTTGTTCATCTCAGTTTTCTATTCCCATTGTAATGTTGGTGCTTAGCTCATAGGTTAAGAAAGCTCTGCCACCTTGTGGGCAATTGAAAGTAAAGCACAGATGTGAAACTGAGTAAGCAATTGCTTTCATACTCCTTAACTCCCTGCCATTGTTGTTAGTTCTACCTCCTAGTGACATTGGAAAACAGAGTAGAATTGTTCCTTAGGGTTTCTGTAAAAGAGACTGTAAATCTTTATGGAAGCAGACTGCCTCATCTTTCTCCTGCTGTGACTGATGGGTTCAAACTGCTGACCTTTTAGATAACAGCAAAAGATTGAGTTCATTCAATCTCAGATTTAAATATCAATGTAAACTGCTTTCCCATTGCCATAAGCGCGATTACAGTTCATAGTGACCTTATAGGATAAAGTAGGACTGACCCATAGGGACTCCTGGTATGGTGTTCTCTGATCAGCAATGGACTGCAAACCATAGGTTGGCAGTTCAAACCCACCAGCTGCTCCTCAGAAACTGTATCGAGGGTGGCTATGAGTCAGAACCAATACAATGGCATTAAAACAACAACAGTCTTTACAGAGGAAAATTATTTCATCTTTTTTTCTTAGAGTGACTGTTGATTTCAAACTATTGACCTTTCAGTTGGTTGTTGTTGGTTGTTCGTAAGTGCCGTTGATTCGGTTCCGACCCATAGCGACCCTGTGTAGGGTTTCCAAGGAGCGGTTGATGAGCTTGAACTACCAACCCTGCAGTTCAAACGGCTTTGCAGTCTGACACATTAACCCACAGTGCCACACCAGGAGCTGAGCACATACCCACTGTACCACCAGAGATCCTATAACTTGCTCTATGGGATAAAATTTATTAATTTTTTTATTTATATTTTGTATATAGCATATTTTAGATACTTCTAAAAAGCAGCAATGGGCTCAAGCGTAGCAACGATTGTTAGGTTGGCCCACGACTGGCAGTGTTTCATTCTGTTGTGCATAGGGTTGCTATGAGTTCGTACCAACTCAGTGGCACCTAGCAACACATATTTGTTCTAAATTGTTGGAGTTTGGGGAGTTAATACCATTGCCAAGCATAGATACAAGAGATGATCAGCACTGTAACTAGACTCACAAGTACCTAAATTTGACAAATTTGTACTAGATGCGTCTAGCCACTAGATGGGCACAGAGCCACTATCTTCTCCAGTGGACATCAGATCCTTGAAAATTTACCTTATTGAGGAGCAGAAAATTTATGTCTCCTGCAGACAAACTTCCTCCCTAACGAAAGGACCCCAAAGGGGCTAAACTACATACAACTAGTTCCTTTTTCCTAACTTACTAATCAGGTAAGTTACCTCTTCCTTAGGTGAGAGAAGTGAAGAGGCACTGGGAGGGGCCTCTAATGTACTCATTTCCACATGGAAACATGGAATGAGAATGAACGTTTCCCCAACATATGTGACAAATGTTAGTTATAAAAGGTAAAACTATCTGTAATAATGTAGGCTATTAAGGAATTTGATAACACCAAAGAATGAAATAAAATTGGAAAAGCTTTAAAACCCTTTCCAAGATTTCTGGATCAAACTAAGTTGTTTGGGTACACTCTAGAAAATAAACTTTTAATAATCATCTAGAATTCTAACTTTTTATCTCCCATTCCTAATCAGTAAGGGCATGGTGTATGTGGATAGCACAACCTTGCTAGAGTCATAAGGTGTGCATTGATCTGATCACCTAAACTCAGTAACTTAGCTTGAGAGTTATGCACCCAAGTGATGTGTGTGCAAGGGTGCATGAGCACCCTGTAATGTACCATCCAGATATTTTACCTTCTTCCTTTTTTTTTTTTAAGATTTAAGTTGTGCGCTAACCCTATGCCTTGATTTCTGACAAAATCAGGGATCTGCCTGTAGTAAAAATTATTCTTGATGGCTTCAATATGGTATTAAAAAATAAATACTGTTGTGATTCAAAAACAATAACAGCCAAATAACCCCTCTAAAATGTATGCAGGGAGGAAAATATTTCATAAACAGAGTTCAGTTTGACTATTATTGTACTCATTTATTCATATTTATTACACATGGTTGTAATACTGACTCATACTGTAGCATTCCTTTTCCTCTTCAAAATGAAAAAAATTGCTGTTAACAGTGCCTGTCATTCAATAATATTTTAATGAATAAATGATAAAAATGATGGCCAAGAACTTTTTGTTCACTTAGCTGTATGTAAGCAGCTAAGAAGATTATGATAAAGAGTATGTCTTTAAGTTCTCTCTTTCTGTCCCTTCCTCCCTGCGTTTATGAAGGGGAAGAGGAAGAATATGTATGTCTGCTTCTTTGTCATCTTTCAAATAGCTGTTATTTGTTGCCCAGTTCTGTGCCATCGTCATGTTTGTTGGTATAGAAACTGGTAATTTCTTCAACAGTTTCACTGACTAGATGGACAACTTAAGAAGATGGTGCTCTTGTGTTTACTCTCTTCTGTTTAGCTCAGCAGCAAACACATGTATATATTGCATAACTGTTGCTTAGTTGTGAATACAGTGGTAGTAGAGTAATTAACAAGTCTGGCAGAAGAGGTTTCTACTGACTTCCCCTAATTAGCTTCACGTAGCTGAGTGTGGTTTAATGAAAGGAGTACAACCCACCCTCAAATCTAGGGTATTCCCCTGCTTCATTCAATGGGTGTTATTCACTGGGTATTATTCGTACCTCAAACAAACCTTAAACCTTAATCATTTACTTTGTCTCAGTTTTCCCATGTGCAAGATACAGTTTAATGAATGATCTTTCCTTCAGGTGTTGTGAAAATGAAGTAATGGATCTGAATTTAATTTGAAAAGCTAAGAATCACTGGCTGAAGATGCTATATCTTCCTAAACAAAGAAATATGACATATAATATAAATATGCTAAGTCAGGATTGTTGTTGGTGTAAATGCTATCAAGTTGGTTCTGACTTACATTGTTGTTATGTGCCATGAAGTTGGTTCTGACCATAACAACCTAATACAGGGTTTCTGAGGCTGTAAATCTTTACAGGAGCAGAAAGCCTCATCTTTCTCCCGCGGAACAGCTGGTAGTTTTGAACTGATGAACCTGAGGTTAGCAGCCTGATTCGTAACCACTACGCTACCAGAGCTCCTCTGTCTTATGGCAACCCTGAATAAGGTTTCCGAGGAGCAGCTGATGAGCTTAAACTGTTGACCTTCAGGTTCAAGCCCACATTCAGTCCAGCACATTAAGCTGCAGCGTCAGAATTAACACATTAAAAGTAAGAGTTGTAATTTTAAGTACTTTTACTGCCACCTGGTGGACATGGGTTAAGCTTTTTTTTTTTTTCTTTTTCAGATGCATTTGGATAGCCAACAATTTTTGAATGACCTTAGAAATGATATTGAAAAGAAAATAGGATTTGATGCTATTATGAGAGTTCGAACCAGCACAGGTAATTATCATTTATACCTGAGTGTCATCACTAAACCTGAATGTTTCCTCTTCATTAACAAGCCAACAAAAAGAATAACAATAAAATAAAATAAGAGGAAGCAAAATTTCCTTTTTTCTTCATCCTTAGGTTTCAGAGCCACTGATTTCTTTGGTGGCATTTTCATGAACAACACCACCGATGTGGAGATGGCAGCTATTGATTGCGACAAGGCAGTAACTGTAGAGTTCAAGCATGATGACAAACTTGGTGAAGACAGCGGAGCCTTAATCCAGGTGATTTTAAATGCATTTTCTCGGATTTTGCTTTTTAGTTTGTTACTGATAGCAATCAGTGGGAAAGCTAAATAAAATAGCATCAAATGTGTTAGTCTCTTCCAAAGACTCAGTTCCGTTTCTCCAGAAGTGCTCAGTTTAGGGCACTGATTGTATGGTTTCTCCATACTTTATATGAAGTGACAGTTGTCATTGCACGAGAACCCAGCAAACTTGTGGTTAGTGTCATGAACATCAGCAAACTGATTCCCAGCAGTGTAGGATTCTTTCAGGCACCAGCTAACTCATTTGTTGGCCTTCTAATGTATGTTGTAGACCTCATATCAACCACACCAAAGTAGGATTTGATTTTGTAATACACAAAATTAACTGGAGGCTATGGAGACTTATTGGAGCTCTGGTAGCGTAGTGGTTACGAATCGGGCTGCGAACCTTAAGGTCAGTGGTTCGAAACTACCAGCGCTCCGCGGGAGAAAGATGAGGCTTTCTACTCCCGTAAGGATTTACACCCTCGGAAACCCTGTACAGGGTCGCTATGGGTCGGAACCGACTCGACGGCACTTAACAACAACAACAATGGAGACTTATTAATAAAAATAACAAAAATTGTACTAATGGCTATAGTTTTCAGACTTTAGTATCTTTAGTACCTTTGACAGATAGAAATTGGCATTAAGTTGAGAAAGAATTCAGTTAATGTTTCTGTTGTCGTTAAGTCTATTCAGACTTTTAGCGATTGGTAGGTTGGAACCACTGACCTTTAGGTTAGCAGTTCTGTTCTTATCCTACTGTGTCACATCAGGACTCCCTTTTTAATCATTAGTGTTTAGGCAAGTGGTTACAATTCTGTACTTTGAAATGTATATATCATCAACATAAAACCTAAGTACATCCTCAGAGATAATTGTATGTTTTTAAGGGAAGTGAGCCTTCAGTAAGGCTGTAAGAACATGAAGGTATTGTTCTGGACCTTAGATTCCTGATAGTAGAATCAGAGCTATGTGACATGCCCACTACTTGTAGAAAGGCAAACCAGTATTTAGGTGTGGATTGCTCAATAATCTAAACCAGTGAAATACTACTTAGAAACCCAAGTGGAAGGACTAGTTGTTTTTCTTTACTGTCATTCAGTCATTAAAAATAATAGAAAAAATGTACAGGAAACTTTTATATCTTTAGTTATACATACTGTACAGAACTGTACACACTGTTTTATAAATACAGATAAGATAAACAACCAAACAAATAAGATCAAGAGTATGTTAGCCAGAAAAAACATGTGACGTCATTGTTGCCTCTGCAGTGTGCTGTGCTGTACACAACTATCGGTGGCCAAAGAAGGCTTCGGATTCACAACCTTGGTTTAAACTGCAGCTCTCAGCTGGCTGATGTCTACAAGAGCTGCGAGACAGATGCTCTCATCAACTTCTTTGCCAAATCAGGTGACCCTTTCCTCAGCCTCTGATCAATGTAGCTTACCTAGTAATTGAGTCAAGACTTGTTGGGTAATCAACAAATCAGTTTATGAAAAGCACTGTGGTGCCACAGCCTTTTGGCAGATAAATTAGAACTAAAAACAAGTGTGAAGAAGAATTGTCAGCATCTGTAACTCTAGGTTAATAATGGGACCACTCAGACCCACACTATACTGTTTTCTTTAAAATTTCTTTCAGGGGGTGGGTGGGGACAGTCTGAATTGTAATTTAGTAAAGTGTTACTTCAACTCTTTTTGTAACATGAGTGTACTCACTATCACTTGTAAATAGTGGAAGAAAACTCTCCCTAAGCATTAGTGTGAGCTCGCTTATCCATACGATGATAAGGATGAAATGGATGACTTTATGGCTAAATTGTCTTTTTCTCCTGAGATTTTACACCAAGATTTCGAAAAAGCAGTTCAACCTGTAGGAATTCAGCTTGGTAAAGTAGAAGGTCAGTGAACAACAGAAGATGGAAGGATACACAGAGTTACTGTACCAAAAAGAAATGATCAATGTTCAACTATTTCAAGAGGCTAAGCACTAGACGTCAAGGTTGGCTTGAAATGCAAGGCTGGTGATTCAAACTCAACCAGCTGCTCCTTGGAAATCTTATACAGGGTTGCTCTGAGTTGGAACTGACTTGATGTCACTTAACAGCAACACCATCCATCTTTTTTCAAGAGAAAATGGAAAGAATACACAGAGTCACTGTACCAAAAAGAAATGATTGATGTTCATCTATTTCAAGAGGTAGCATATGAACAAGAATCATTGGTATTGAATGAAGAAGTCCAAGATGCACTGAAGGCATTGATGAAAAACAAGGCTTCAGGAATTGAGGGACTATAAATTGAAATCTTTCAACAAACTGATGCTGCCCTGCAGGTGCTCGCTAACCTATGCCAAGGCATTTGGAAGATAGATGCCTAGCTAACCAATTGGAAGAGATCCATATTTGTGCCCATTTCAAAGAGAGGTGACCCAGCAGAATGTGGAAATCATCGGACGATAATCATTAATATCACATATAAGTAAAATTTTGCTGAAAACAATTGTAGAAGTACATCAGCTGTATAGCTGCCAGAATTTCAAGCTGGATTCAAAAGAGGACATGAAACTAGGGATATCTGTACTGATGTCAGATAGAGCTTGGCTGAAAGCAGAGAGTATCAGAAAGATGTTGTGCTTTATTGTTACTTGTGCTTTATTGACTTTTATTTATTGACTTTATTGACTATGCAAAGACTTTTGACTGTGTGGGTCATGACAAGCTAGGGATAGGACTGCGAACAATGGGTATTCCAGAACATTTAATTGTACCCATGAAGAACTGTACATAGACCAAGAGATACTCATTAGAACAAGGGGATACTGAATGGTTTGAAATCAGAAAGGGTGTGCACCAGGGTTGTATCCTTTCACCATCCTTATTCATTCTGTATGCTTGAGCAAATAATCTGAGCAACTGGATTATATAAAGATGAAAGTGGAATCAGAATTGAAGGAAGACTCATTAACAACCTACGATATGCAGTTGATACAACCTTGCTTGCTGGAAGTAAAGAGAACTTGCAATGCTTACTGATAAGGATCAAAGACCACAGTCTTCAGTATAGGTTGCAATGAATTTAAAGAAAACAAAAATTCTCCCAACTGGACCAATAAATAACATCATGATAAATGGAGAAAAGATTTAAGTTGTCAAAGACCTTATTTTGCTGAGTTCAACCATCAGCATTTATGGAAGCAGCAGTCAAGAAATCAAATGACATATTGCATTAGGCAAATCTTCTGCACAAGACCTTTTTAAAGTGTTAAAGAGCAAAGATGTCAGCTTGAGGACTAAGATGTGCCTGACCCAAGCCATGGTATTTTCATTTGCTTCATATGCATGTGATAGTTGGACAGTAAATAAGGAAGACCAGAGAAAATGCATTTGAATTTCAGTATTGGACAAGAATGTTAAAAGTACTTTTGACTGCCAGGAGAACAAACAAATCTGCCGTAGAAGAATGCAACCAGAATGTTCCTTAGAAGCAAAGATGGTGAGACTTCATCTCTCATACTTTGGACATGTTACCAGGAGGGACCAGTCCCTGGAGGATATCGTGCTTGGTAAAGTAGAAGGTCAGTGAACAAGAGGAAGACCTCCAGTGAGATGTATTGGCACAGAGGCAGCAGCAGTGAGCTCAAGCATCACAACAGTTGTGAGGATGGTACAGGGCCAGGCATTTGTTCCGTCACTATGAGTCAGAAACTAGAAACAACAAACCTTTTCTTATTGGTAGGCCATTGCTCTCCACTGACCACATCATCATAACTAGTTAAGAGAAACCATTAACAAAAGACTTTAACATTTTTGAATTTTGTTATTCCATGCTGGGTAGTCTCAAGATAATAGCAACAGAGTTCTTTTTGTTTTTATTATTTGAAAGGATTCATTTCTGATCTAAAACATTGACACATTTTTCATTTTTCTGTGCACATAGCTTTTAAAGCAGTTCTCCACCAGCCCTTAAAGGTCATCCGTGAAATCCTGGTTAATCAAACTGCCCATATGTTAGCATGTTACCGGAAGCATTGTGCCAGTCCATCTGCAGCAAGCCAGGTAAGCTCTCTGTTGTACTACCCCTATGCTAAAGGATACAACAGCTACTCATTCCTTCAGGATATAGTACTCTTGAGGGCTTGTGAGAGTCCATGCACTTAGATAAAGGGGGTTTCAAAAAGTTCATGGAGCAAGTCCGTTATCTTAATTCCATTTTTCCACAAACGTTATGAAGCCCTCTTGTAAAAGCTGTATAGTAAACTACACAACCAAGAAGACTGAGAATGTAATCTTTTTGTGCTCTGGTATTTTTTTATAGACAACATCAAAAAACATATGATTATACGAGATTCTTGAGCCAAAATATGTGTACATTTTGTTGACAGTCACTACATTATATATAAACAAGAGAATGTTATATGTAAGAATTGTCACAATATATACACTGCTTATGAAAATGAACATTTGGTTGTGAAATGTGTGTACTTAAATACTTTTTAGACAAATAAATAATCAAAGTCAACATGACCTAATAGCAATAATGACATTCTTTCTGTTTTATAAACAAATATAATTTATCCATATAAATATTAGAACTCTTTATACTTGCAAGTTATTAATAGATATGAAGAAGCGTTTTGAAAGAACTATCTGTGGGTAATCATCATAGTAACTTGAGAATTTCAGTCTTCTAAATAAACCTCATTTAGCCTCCCTTCTGTAAAAAGAAGAGTAAGCCATGTCCATATTTCTTTTTGCATCTGTTCTCTTGTTCACATTCGTCCCTATGCCAATCAAAGTTGAATATGTGAATTTTGATTAAAAGAGAAGACGACGACAGATGGGAAAACTTCTGGTTCATTCACTGTCGACAGTAGGTGCTGAAAGGACATCTGAAACCCCATCAAAAAGTTGGCAAAAAAACATGTAAATAAATTCTGGCCCCAAATTCATAATCTGGGTTAAGGAGGACAATCAAAAAGTCACACTTATTAGCTTGGACTTTTTCATAAAAAAGATTAGATTGATTATTCGGTTTTCTGTTTCCTATGTTAGTTATCACACATAAGTAATTCTTGAATTTATAAGAGTTCAACTTTCCTTGTTATTCAGAAGAGTTGTCACTTTTCCTACCCTGAGTCATCAGTACATCTCACAAGGTATTTGCTTAATTTGCACAAAGCCTACCAGGTACACATGGAATCTAGCCTGGATAGTGTTCCGTTGTGAACACTTTAAACCCCAGTTTTACTATTTGTCTTTGAACAACTCTGGAAACCTTTTGTCTCTGGAGTATGTCACATTTCACAAGGATTAGTTGAAGACCAGGTACAGTTAATGTCCTCTCTGAAAGTCTATTTCCTAATGTTAGATTGGATTAAAAAACCTTAAGTGAAACACAAATCAACCTATTTGAGATATAACTCTTGCCTACTCTAAGCCAGTAGAGAGATTTAATAAGAAGAATCTACTTTGCTTATATACCAGATTAAAAACTCGTTTTAATGTTATTTTAAATTTTGTGTCCTAATACAGCATCTGTCATACAACCCTCAGAGTGAGGACCTCCTTATACTTTGTGCCTTAGGCAGTTCTCTCCCTTCAACCTAGTCCTGGCCCTGGACATTCAAAACGAGCAGTTCTACTGAGGTCCAGAGTCATAAAACTCGGGTAAGGCGGTGTGACTCTGGACCTCAGTAGAACTACTGGCTTACAGGAGTCCTGGTGTGGCACTGGGGACTAATGCTTCAGACTGCAAAGTCATTGCAACTGCAAGGTCGGTGGTTCAAGCTCACCAGCTGCTCCTTGGAAACCCTATACAGGGTCGCTGTGGTTCAGAATTGACTCGACGGCACTTAACAACAACAACTGGCTTACAGGAGTCCTGCTATGGCGATGTGGGTTAATGTGCTGTACTGCAAAGTTGGTTTGAACCACAAGGTTGGTGGCATCAGGATTGTGATATGGCATCTGTGATATGCAGATGATACAACCTTGCTTGCTGAAAGTGAAGAGGACTTAAAACATTTACTGATGAAGATCAAAGAGCACAGCCTTCGGTATGGATTGCATCTCAATGTCAAGAAAACAAAAATCCTCACCACTAGACCAATAAATAACATTCTTATCAACGGAGAAAAGATTGAAGTTGTCAAGGACTTCATTCTTCTTGGATCAAATATCAAAACTCACAGAAGCAGCAGTCAAGAGATCAAACGACATACTGCATTAGGCAAATCTGCTGCACAAGACCTTTTTAAAGTGTTGAAGAGCAAAGATGTCAGCTTGAGGACTAAGGTGCCCCTGACCCAAGCCATGGTATTTTCAGTAACCTCATATGCATGCAAAAGCTGGACAGTGAATAAGGAAGACTGTAGAAGAATTGATGCTTTTGAGTTATGGTATTGGAGGAGAATATTGAAAGTGCCATGGACTGCCAAAAGAACCAACAGATCTGTGTTGGAAGAAGTGCAGCCAGAGTGCTCCCTGGAAACCAAGATGGCCAAACTTCGTGTCTCATACTTTGGACATATTGTCAGGAGGGACCAGTCACTGGAGAAGGATATCATGTTTGGTAAGGTGGAAAAGAGGAAGACCCCCAACGAGATGGATTGGCCAAGTGGCAGCATCGATGGACTCAAGCGTGGCAACAGTAGTGAGGTTGGCCCAGGATCGGGCAGTGTTTCGTTCTGCTGTGCATAAAGTTGCTATGGGTTGGTACCGACTTGATAGCACCTAACAACAACAACAAACATATACTATTTCTCCTCAAGATTAATTTAGGTATTTATAATACTCTCCAGGGAGGTGGGCAGAAGTTTGTTTTGTGTGTGTGTGTGTGTGTTTAACTATTTATTGTGAATTGAATGAAGATTTACAGAACATAGAGTTCCAAGTGTTTAGAACCACAGTTAACTCTGTTAACCACATACAACTGAATCATATCATCCTGTCAGCATCTTCTCCCACCTTTTTTTAAATAACTGTTTTACTGTGAATTAATTATGTAATAGTTTACATGGGAGAACATTAGCTTTACATTCATCCTATTGTATATCGTTACACTGCTGTGGTTACAATCCCCTCCATGCATCGTCAACCAACCAATGGTACATCCCGCAAGCCTGCCCCCTAGTTGTCAGCAAACAACTCCTCTCCCTCTCTGGTTCTGGAGTACCAGGCCACACCATATCTCTATGTCATTGTCTCTACCTCCATCTCTGGTGTCACTGTTTCTCTGCGTAGGGTCCCGCAGTCCATTCTTCTCCCTTGATGGTCCCAAGGCCCTCTGCTCCTGGACTGCAAAGTCAACCACTCCCCTCCTTTTGCTACAAAATGTCTACCTTTACATTTCCAACCCTCCCAGTCAGTCCTGATAGTAATTATTCACTGTTGTGCCACGAGTGCTATCCCCTTCTCCTTTCATTAGCCCCACCCAGACAGATTGGATACTACTAAGTGGAGATTCTACCTTCCTCCACGCCCTCTGGACCTAGGCTCCCTCTTGAAAGCTTGTAAGTTAGTCACTTCTTGCCTTTGTAGCCCCCCACCCCCATTTTTGGTAGCCAATGTCCAAGTTGCCCATCCCTGTCTACTCTGTATATTGAGGGGGTAGGAATGATCCTCACTTTAAAGATTTGTTCCCTCTTTTGAGCTACTGCATCCATAGGTGTAGGTCAAGTTCATCAATTTGTATCAGATTACTCTTTTTTCCCTTCTTCTTCTTCTTCTAGTTGAGCTCTGATCATCCAGTCATTGAAGCCAGGTCAAGTGGGTATTATCTGCAGGTGCGGGTGTTCTTGTGCATATGCCCTCTCTTCTTACCAGCTGGACCCGTCATCCTCCACTCTAGTCCTCTGTGGCTATGTCCTTGACACTGGGCCCAGGAGTCCCCAGGTCTTGTCAAATTTCTGGCCAACCAGGTCTCCAATTAGGTTCACAGGAGTGTATTGAATGCGGTTAGACTTCGCTCGCAACTTCATTGCTGTTTTCCCCTATCTTCCCCTTATCGGTGACCAACGTGGTCACCAGTCAGAGAATGTGTCTACTCATGTACTCCCATTGAGTCTCAGTCTTGGAAGGGGGTTTACCCTGTGGGGACCCAACTGCTTGCCTTGATGTCTCCTGGGCGAGCAACTTGCTTGTTCTTGTAGTAGTCAGTTGGACTGCTGTTATTGTTTTGTATTTTTCCTGTCGGGTCTTTCTTTCAAGAAGTATCTTCTGTTCTTCTATCCTCTCCAGTCTGGTCTGCTTGTCCTTTCCAGTGGAGATTTCCCATCTCAGAAGATTCTGGATGGGGTTCAGGATTATACCTATGGTCTTATGTAATGCAGAGGCTCCACAGGAAGCTTCCTTCACTGGGCATGTTGTAGCCCCATTTTAGGTATTCCATCAGTTATAGGCAGAAGATGGACTTAAAAGATTTCTATGGTGATATTTCTGGCTATTCCTGTCTCTCCCCCTCAAGTGTCTATTTTATAATGGTATGCCAGGGAAACCAAGATTCAAAAGACAGCCAAGCATATTAACATTATTTCCCCCCTTTGAGCAGAAGGTTTTATAGTGGTGATCTATTACCATACTTTTCCCTACGTCTAAGTCATTGAATGGAGTTCTGGTGTAGCGCTGTGAGATAAAGCACTGGACTACAAGGTCAATTTCAACCACAAGGTTGGCAGTTCAAATTCACCAGCTGGTGTTTGGAAACCCTACACAGGGTTGCCATGAGTTGGAAATGAAATAATGGCACTTAACAACAATAACAACAAATTATTGAATAAGACTGTTTTCTTACACTTTTCCATTCCTTTTTTTTCTTTTTTATTGTATTACCTCCTTTTCTTTTAAATTGCGTTCACTGTTTTCTTCCCTCTAGTCCTTGTAATCTAGCCTTTTAAAATCACATTTTATTAGTCCTGGTGGTGTCATCATGGGCCAAGCTCCACTCCTTTGTAGTATTTGGGAAGGACAACAGGTTTCTAAACTGTCTTAATACAACCTGATTAATGAGAAACAACCTGTGAAATCACCAGCTAATACTAGAAAACTTTATGCGCTTG